GGTATGGGATGTGGGAATCTGGGCAGTGTGTGGGCTAATGACTCAAGATGGATATATCTGTGACTCTGTGTGTTGAATGTGTGTCTGTTTAATCTTGGGGTGTTGGGAGTCTGAGCCTGTGCATATTTGTGAATCAGGATATGTGTTTATGAATCTAAGAGTTGTGTCTGCATAGCATATATATACCTGTGTGTTGTGAGCCTGAGAGTCTATATCTGAAAGTTGGGTCTGTCTCTGTAAATCTAGGAATGTGTATATTCTGAGTTGTGTGGGCCTAGAATTTTGGAGAGGGTGTGTTCATGGTTTGTGTATATCTGTGTTTCGTAGATGCTTGTAAATTTGGGACTATGTAACTCCTTGAGTGGTACTGAATTGGGAAAGAGTGTGATTCTGGGAGTGAGCATATCTGAGCTATGCTAACAGTGGTCTGTGTCTTTGGTAGCTGATGTCTGTGTTCCTTGCTCTTTCTGTATCTCTGTCTGCCCATCTGTTTTTCTGAGTCTCTCCCTCCCTGGTTGAGGCCCTGGGTCTGTGAACGTGTGTGGTGTTGAACCTCTCTCACCCAGTCCTTCTCCTCCCCTGCCCTCCCCAGCAGTAACTGGGCAGCCTCCCCGTCTGCCTGCCTGCTGGGAGTTTGGAAGCCATGGAGGGAGACAGGCTGGGGCCGGGGTGACAGCGCGTATCCACGGCAATGGCAGCCTGTGATTACGGGAATAAAAGGATTTTAAGGTCATGGGTGTATTTTTTTGTTTTGTTTTGTGTTTCTCCCCTCTTTGGTGGAGCCATCGGCAACAAAGGGCCATTGCTGTGTGTCTGCAGGTTGGGAGCCTGTCCCCATGCAAGTGAACATGGATCTGTGGGTCTTTCCTGGGAGCATGAACACATGTGTGTATATATGCATGAGTGGAGCCTGTGAGAACGTGTGTTCCTGTCTGCCTGCTCCCCGTGAGAGAGTGCATAGGGCTGTTCCCTGGGGAAGAATTCTCAGGAAAACTTCTTGATTTGGGGTATTTCATGGAGGTGGAACCCTGCAATCCTGTGTGTGCTGAAGAGCGGTCTGGCCCCAGTCTTTGCCTACCTGTCTCACTCTCCCCACCCCACTGCCCATAGGGTGTCTCTGACCAGAGACTGGCTCAGCCCAGTCACCTGGGCCAGGCCACATCTCAGGGTGTCAGTGCCCCTGGCCCTGCTCCAGCCCCTGTAATTGCATTCTGCCGCCTAATCCCCCGCCAGCTCAATTAGATCGCAAATTCTTCTTCATTTCCTGCCTCTGATGCTGGCCTCCCTCTGGGCTCACAGGGCCTGGGAGGGAGGGAGGGGATCTTGCCCCCTCTTCCGCCTGCACTGGGGGCTCTGGAGGTGGGGTGTGATTAGTTCCTAGCACACCGGCCCTCGGGTGCTGGTTGCAGCCCTGGGGGCCAACAGGACAAGGCTTTGCTGACCCTTTATAGACCAGCCTCAGTAGCCCTATGCTAGGGGGAGGGGCTTGTGTTATCTGGTACCTGGGCCCTAAGTAGACCAGGCAGATCACTCTGGTCAAGCCCCTAAACAGTGTCCTCACAGACTCTGCCCATCTCCTTGTTCCCAGAGGAGTTGCTGACCACCCCTTGGTCTAGCAGTTGTGACCTTGTTTTTGACCTTTTCCTGGTGGCTGTTTCAGGCACCAATAGGATCACTGAGCTCCCCCGCTACTGGGCCCTCCTAACTCCCAGCCTCAACCTCACCCCAACAGGTATATTTGACCACTGGCTCAGGAGTCAGACCTGGCTCCAAATCCTGGCCATGTCACTGCCAAGCTGGGTATATGTATGACCTTTGGTCCATATATGTTCTGTGATCCTCAGTTTCCTTATGCCTGAAATGGGAGTGTAAGAGTGCCTGCCTCACAAGGCTATTTTCACACGGACACGGGGATGGCTGTGCAGTGCCCACCATCAGTGTCTAGGTAGCCCACAGTCAGCATTCAAAGTTGGCTTTTATGGTGATGAGGACTTCCTGTTCCCCAGTGAAAAGGAAGAAAAGAACACATGGCTCACGGTTAGCTTTTCTGTCTTTATTCTGCTAGTTGCCAGGTGTGTGACCTTGGGTACGTCACTCTGCCTGTCTGGGTTTCTCTTCCCCATCTGTGAGATGGGACCCACGATGGGCCTGACCTCACAGGATTACCTGCATGCTTGGCCCTAGCCCCGCCTGCAGGTTTTCAAGGTGTTACTTGTACTCTTATTTCTTTTCCTCACATCAAGCCTGGGGTGGGGTGGGGCTGGTGAGGACACAGGCTCGGGGACAGGGGGACTGGCCAAGGTCATGGGGTTGATGGTGGGGCCTGGGGCGGGGGGCAGTGGGAGGGCTGGGGGATGACCTGCTGGCTTGCTCGCCCGTTGACTGGCTGGCTCAGCTGAGCTGTGAGGCATGGCCTTCCCTCCCGCTGGTCTCTGTGGAAAGTGGTGGCGCGGCTGATTTTTTTTTTTTTTTTTCTGTGAAGGGGAAGCTGGATGTCTACCCCCTCCTTCCCCAGGAGGTGCCTGTGGCAGTGGCTGTGCTGACAGGCCTCCTGGCCTTCTGACTAGAGTGGCTGGCAGCTCTGAAGGGCCGGCTGCACACAGATCAGCCAGAGGGAAGAGAGAACCGCAGAGGTCCCCTGCCCTCACTAATCCCCCGGGCCCCTCCCACCCTCAGCCCGTCCTCCTCCGTCCTCCGTCTGGATGGAAAGACAGAAGCAGCCATGGCAGGAGGAGAGCTGGGGGAGGCTGACTAGGCTCAGGAGGTGGTGGAGTGGGCCTGGGGACAGGGGGTGGTCTGCTTCAGGGTCCCTGTATCTCCCTGGCTAGTCTCCTTATTTCTATGACCTCTGTCACTCATTGGCCTAAGGTCTTTAATATTTCATGGCCTTTGGAGCCAGCCCCCTGCCCCAGCCCACAGGCCCCCTTTGTCTGCCTGCTGCCCACCCTGGGGTATCCCTGTCACTGAATTGCTGAATTACTGACCTCGGGGTTGCCTGTGCACCGCCCCCCCCAGCCCTGATACCATCCGTATCCCTCTTGACTTGCCCCCCCCACACACACACACCTCTGCCTGTCACAACTCGGTCTCTCCTGTGTGTCCTCTCCCCCTCTCTCACATCTCTGACTGTCCCTCTGCCCTTTCCCTCCATTTTTCTCTTTTGTTGGCCTCCTCCTCCTCCCCAGCAGGACAGAAACAGCGGCAACTGGTGCGCCTGGCTGCACCCCCCAACCCTGTCCACCCCTTCCTGCCTCCACCCCCCCCAGCTGTGCTGGCCGGGAGAGCTGGTTTTATTTATTTTTCTGTTTGTTTGGGAAGAGGGCAGGGGCAGTTCTGGGCCCTGGCTGCTGCGCTCTGCCTAGAGCAGTGGGCAGGCGGGCCGCACTGGCCTCCCAGGAATGTGGCCGGGACGCCCCGCGCTATATTTACTTCCCTCCAGCTGCTGGCCCCAGCAGGGCAGAGCCAGGCCTGCCCGGTGGCCCCAGGGGAGCCCTGTGCCCACCCTCCCCTGTCCAGAAGACCCCACATGGCCCTTGGGTCCACTGTTCCCTCCCTTCACCGTGACCTCCCCTGACCTCCTCGGACTCGCCCGGTCTGCCAGCAGGAACGCTCATATGCCATGCCGGGACAGGCATGAAGTGCAGGCGCAGTGGCCTGATCCATGTGGGACTGCAAGCACCTGGCAGCCCCCACACCCCCACCTAGGGGCCTAGCCTAGGCCTGTAATCTGGTGGTCAGAACTATGCAAAGCATCTTTTCAGGCCTCTCCCCACTGGCCCGGTCCTTGCTCTTGCCACAGTCCCCTCAGCTCTGCTGTGATCACTGGCCAGGGTTGGGTGGGCTAGGGTGGGAGGCCTGAGCCAGTGTCAGCAGTTGTGTTCCCTTCACTGCCATCTTGCTTCCCATCTCCCCTGCTGGCCCTCCCAGCTTTCCTGTGTAGACATGTATTCATGTGCATGGTTAAAAGCTTGCACATACGTGTGCAGCAGGCACCCGTGAACACATGTTGGAGTAGACCTTCCATGGAGGCAGGGCCATGCTTCTAACCATCGAGTCCCTTGATCATCAGATGCTAATGGGAGGTTACTGGGCTTGCTCCTTACCAGCCTTGCAAGGGGATGTGGCAGTGATTCCTTCCTGTCCCCTCAGTGTCTGGCACCAGCTAAGTGTTCGAAGAGCTTTAGCTGCTGCTCTAATCACTCATTGTCTCCCAGTTACTACTATAATAATCATAGTAGGTCTTAACAATGCTGAAGACAACAGCTAACTGACTGAGGGCAGGCACTGTGTGGACAGCTTTCTAGCCTTCGCTTTGTTCATTCCTCACAGTAGGCCAGTGATGTGGGTGCTGTTAGCTTCCCCATATACAGATGAGGAAACTGAGGCTGGAGCGTTTGGAACTTGCCACTCCAAGTGGGATTGGGTCCTGGTAGAGCCCTTGATCAGAGAAGGCAATGGCACCCCATTCCAGTACCCTTGCCTGGAAAATCCCATGGATGGAGGAGCCTGGTAGGCTGCAGCCCATGGGGTCGCTAAGGGTCACGACTGAGCGACCTCCCTTTCATTTTTCACTTTCATGCATTGGAGAAGGAAATGGCAACCCACTCCAGTATTCTTGCCTGGAGAATCCCAGGGGCGGGGGAGCCTGGTGGGCTGCCGTCTATGGGGTTGCACAGAGTCGGACATGACTGAAGTGACTTAGCAGCAGCAGAGCCCTTGATGGGCCATGAACACCACAAGGACAGCCAGGGTTGGGCTGTGTGTGGCAATCCACACTACCTAGCACACAGCAGGCACTCCGTCAATGCCTGTGGGGTACAGGCCTTGCTCTCTTTCCTTCTTGAGTCCCCCAGACCCCTGGCAAGGGACCTGGCATTTGGTGGGAAGATGGGCTGATTGGCTAGTTGCGTGAATGAAAGGATGAATTAATGAATGAGCAGGTGATTGGCTGTGGAATTGAGTGCTCTCAAAGGACACCAGGATGGGGGAGATGTACTTACATTGGTGAGGAGACTGGTCAGGGGAGACCCACTGGTCCTGCAGAGGATTCTAGGAAGCAAGGTTGAGGGACGGGACTGAGAGATGCATCCAGGGACCAGTAGGCTGCCAAGGCTGAGTCCTTGGGGCAGGTCATGTCGTCTTCTCTCCCCCAACCTCAGTTTTTCATCTATCAAATGGGCTTGGGAACCTTGCCCCAGCTTAGCTGGCTGCCAGCTGGCCTGGGCTGGGGCTGGCCTGGGAGCCTGAGAGGTGAGGGACTGTAGTGGGAAGGAGGAAGCAGTGGGTGGTGAAGACTGGAAGATGAAGCGTGGAGCTTGGCTTGGAACCTGAGAAGCAGGGAGACCAGTCCTGACCTGACACCCCTCCTCCCTCTGAGCTCCAGGGTGGGGGCACAAGCTGACAAAGCCCTGCCTACCCGCTTGCACTCTGGCGAGGTCTGGGCCTCCTGACAGCTGCAGCATCCGTGGTTGTGTTTGCCACAAGGTGGTGGCCTGTCCTCCAGGACTAGACCAGCTTGATCCCCAAAACCCCTTGCCCTGCCCCACAGCCTCACATCCAGTTCCTGGTGACCCTGATGGGAGAGCCCAGCTCCTTTCCTGCCTGACCTGCCTCCCCCAGAGCTCAATAGAAAATTGCTTAGCTGGGCCCCCAGCAGCAGGTAGGAGTGGACTTGGCCCCCTTTCTTCTGGCGGTGTCTGATCTCGGTGGCCTGGAAACTTAAGTCACAGGAGTCTAGAATCATAGAATGCTTGGAGCTGAGGGATTCTTGTCAGGATTCTTGTCATGTTGATAGCCTAGAATCATAGAACCGTGGGCTTTCCTGCTGTAAGGAAGCATGAATGGTCATGTTTCAATCTTGTTCGACGCTAGGAACATTGAGAATCTGAGAGGAGGGGCTTCCCTGTGGTGCCCACCAGTGACATGAAACCCAGTTCTGCCTCTGGTCTGCCCCTCTCTGGAAATAAATCACACCAGCACGGGGAGTGGACTGTGTGGGCCCAAGCAGGCAGCGAGGGGACGCAGCTAGCCTACAGGCACGGGAGGGGTCCTCACAGCAGTGCCCGCCCGCCCGCTGCCCACGCTTCCCGAGGCACCAGTGTGAGGAGGAAATGCAGGCTGTTGCTTCCAGCGACAGCCGGCAGGGCCGGGCGGCTTCCCAGCTCCCCCTCTGATTCACGGCCGCCTGCAGCTCCCCCCTCCCCTGGGGGCCTCTGTAGCCCCATCTGTGCAATGGGGAGAGGAGGCTTCACCCCACAGTCTAGTCACAAAGACGGTACAGTTGTGATTCTTTTAAAGCCCGGCCTTACGCTTTGGGAGAGTTGGGCCAGTGGTCCTGAATAGTCAGCTGGGCATTTGGCCCCCGAGCACTGAGAAGTTCTGTGTGGAGTCACCCTGATGCCTGAGAAGCTTGGGCGGGCTGCATTGGTTCCTGAGGTGGAAAGTCTACCAGGTGGGAAACAATAGAGAAGGGCCCTGCCATCAGGGCCACTCTTCCCATTCAGGAGGAGCCTGGATGGGAGCTGGGCTTGCTCCTGATCTCAGTATACCCGTCTGCAAAATGGAGCATGTCATTCCATGTGGCCATTCATTCATTGTCTGCTCTGTGCCTGGACATGTGCTGGGCACTGGGGATGCTGAGGCAAGTGGGAGGATGGTAGGGAGAGGAGGGGTATCCTTGGCGGTGGGGTGGGAGTATGATTTGGCTGAAGGGGTGACTCTGGGAGAAGGAATGAGGTTGGGGGGGAGCAGATAAGGGGCTGACCGGCAAGGCCAATGTCCAGCGGAAAATCCCAGCTGTTCTCAGGAAGTGTTTCCTCCGCTGGTCCCCGGGGAGGGAGGCGAGGCAAGCAGGAAGGAGGAGAGTTGGGGGCAAACAAGGCCCCTAGCCAGTCTGATGGAGACGTCCCAGACCTGGCAGCTGGGCGGGTGTACCCCTCACACTGCAGGAGGGCTGGAAAGCAGCCCCCCACGCTCTGGGGCTGGGCCTGTGATGGGGGGTCGGGGCTCTCAGGAGGGGCCGGGCCGTAGTCCAGATTTCAAAGCCTTCCCCAGGGGCCTTGCGGTGCCCTCCGCCCTGTCCTGAGCTGCCGCCGCGGGGGTGGCAGATGCTGTTTCATCGGCTGAGACGAGTGGGAGGCCTCCGGAAGGTCCTCCTGGGAGGTTCCGGGGGGCAGCGGGGGCGTCGGCAGCTGCCGCCCAGCTAGAACTGGTTCACGGTGGCCTCCCAAGTCCCTCAGTTCCCCCAGGCCTGGGGATGGAGCACTGAGACTGATTCCTCCTGCCTTCACTCCCCCTACTGCCCACCAGGCTTCTTGGCTCTGGCCCCCCTCCCGTCCCTGGCTGTGTCTGCAGAGCCCCCCGGGGAAGGCAGGGGAGGAGGCGCAGCGGGCTCAGAACAGCGGGTGCCCGCGCAGCCAAGTATTTGCGCGAGCTGTCAGAGACAGACAGGCATGTAGGGAATTCGGTGTGTGTGGGGCTGGGGGAAGCAGCCGGGTGGGCAGGCAGGCAAGAGGGGGGAAGCTGGGGCTGCCTCCCCCGCCTGTTGAACCCTGCAGAGACCACCGTTCTCCCAGCCCAGGCCAGAAGGTGCATCCGGCACCTCCTTCCTGCCTGTACCAGTGCAGGGGACAAGAGGGACGGGGTGGGACCCTGGCTGATGACAGGGCTGACACTGGGGAAGGGGTGCCCTGCTGAAGGCCAGAGCCTGGGAGAGGCTGTTCGGTGGAGTGTGGAGCTGGGCAGGAATCCGGGTTGTGCCCAACTGTGGCCTCCAGGAAATAGCAGCTGTCATGCTCCCGCGTCTTCCCCCCTCCCCAAGCCTGGCACAACTTGTTTCCTGGCCAGGGTCTGGCTGGGGCAGATTGGAGGAGCCTGGTATTGCCCAGCCTGGGCACGGAACAAGCAGGATGAAGGGTACCATGTTTATAAGCCTAAAGGTACTTGGGGATGCTGGGTAGAGCTTCCCCTGTGATATTCTTTTGCTGAAGCAGGCTGGAGTCATTTTGAAGGAGGGGATTTCAGCCCCTACCTCCCTGGATAAAGACCCTAATTTAATCACCTGCGTCTTCTCTTCGAGAGGGCCTATTAGGCAGGTCAGGGCCTAGAGCTGAGTAATACTTGATATTTCATAACTGAGAGCCCAGAGAGAGGGATACACTGGCCTAGGGTCACACAGTGGGTTCTCCAGCCTTCTCCCTACCCTCGTGTGGGTGGGGTCAATGGGAAGAGGTGAACATTGGGGGTTTGCTGGGGTCGGGGGCTATATTTAGTTCAGTCCTGCAGAGCCAGGGGGCCCCTGGGAGCAGCTGTTGGGGGGGGGTGCAGACAGAGGCCTCGAGCTGCATTTAGTCTGGACAGAAATATCCTCCCCCCACCCACCCACCCACTGGCTGGGCGGCCAGGCTGCGGGCTTGTCCCCTGAGGGGCAGCTTGCCTGGGCCTGGCGGCCGGCGGGACAGGCAAGATGACCCGATAGGCTTTTCCCAGCTCAGGTTTCGATGAAACAGGAACCGGAGCCGTAGCCTGGGCTGTGGGGGCCACGGCCGCCGGAGCTGGGGGGCCAGGACTGCCTCCCTCCTGCTCCCCCCTGCTCCCCACCATGCAGCCTCCCCTTCTCAGAGGCCTGGGGAAGCAGCAGGTTATTTATCAAGCAGCCTCCCTGCCGCGTCTGCCCGCGCCTGCCTCCCTCCCACCCCCCCAACCCCCAGCGCTGGCGGCCATGAGCCCAGCCGAGCAGGGTGAGCTGGGCGGGCTGGCGGCGGGATGAGCTCAGGAGACATGAGTCACCCCATCCCCAGCAGCCCCGCGAGGCCCTGCGGCCTGGCAGGCAGCGCGTACTCACGCACATCCCACGCGGCACACCCAGGGGCACACGCTTGGGACAGACAGTCACTCAGCACACGACCCAGCACACAGGGCTGACACTCATGGGCAGGGCCCAGTCACAGTCGTTGTGGACACTCCGAAAGCACACTCGCTGTCACACTCACAGCCCCAGCCTCTGGCAAACACACAACACGCGCTGACACATACACGCAGACTATTGGACAAACACAGTCACACATGGACCCCATACACGACTCCAGTAAGGCGGTGTGGTATGTGTGCTCCATCCTGTCACAGGCTCAGGCCGTTGTTCTCCGGCCACAGCTCTCACCCAGATGGTGTGAAGAGTTGGGCCCGGAGCACTGACCCCACGGAGACTGGTGCGCACACAGGCGCGCTCCCAGCAAGGTTGGGGCTCCATTCACTGAAAGGTGTGCGTGTAGGCTCACACAAAGGAGACCCATCCTCGGCCATGTAGAGTCAGCTGAACTCTGCAGGGTGGGCACGGGAAGGGAGGTGTTTCCCCACCCCTGGGGAAGGAGGCCCCAGTCACGGGCATGGAAGTGTTAAACTCATTTGCCCTCCAGTATGGGGAACTCTAGCCCAGGCAGAGCTGGTTGGGGGTTGATGGGGAAGGGACACAGGGGAGCTCAGTAGAGGAAAGGCTGGAGAAGGAAAGCCATGGAGAATCGATTTTCCTGGGAGCGCCAAGTGGCCAGCTGCTCCCCCCACTCGGAGTGGGGTCCTTGAGAGATTGCGGGGTGCCAGAGACTGGGGAGGCATGAGACTTCCTTGATCTAGTGGGCTGAGCGCTTCAGGAGTCTGTCAGCCCACCCTCCCTGGTCACCCTGGCCTCCCGCCTTGCAGCCAGCACCCTAAGACTCAGAATTCAGACTTCGACCCTGATTTTTAGTCCCTGGCCTGAGTACAAGCAAGGGCTGGGCTCCTGGGTTAGGGGGATGCCCTCAGGGAGCCTCTGTGCTTCTGCTGCCCACTGGGGCTGGCGCTTGCCTTCCCTGAGTGAGCAGAACTGGGGGCATAACCCATATTTCACACAAGGAAAAAGGCATCCTTTTTCAGATGAAAGAATTGAGTCCGATGGGGATGGCTTCACTGGTCACAAAGGACTTTGGACACAGTCTCCTAACGCTCAGAGGGCAGCTCGTTCTGGGCCCACAGGATTGAGACAGCCTAGCAGAAGTGAAGAGGCAGGTGAACTCTGGCCGATGTTGGCTCCCACCTCCTGGCCACAGAGACTGGGGAGGAATGAGACTGGCCCCACTTTATGGCTCCCCCATAAAGGCCTGGACAGTGGTTGGGGAGAAGAGAGGACCAGGCAACCTGAAGAAGACAAACAGCACTGGCCATTCAGGAGAACTGAATGTCCCCCGAGCCATCAGCTCTAGAATTGGACAGGCCTGGGCTCCACACCAGATTTGGTCACTGCCTGCTGTGTAATCATGACCTGGTTTGCCAACCTCTCTGACCTCACTTTAGCCACCTGTAAAATGGGTATGACCCTTATCTCTGTCTTAAAACGGCAAGACCTGGTGTAGATGAAGTAGATGGTGGGGTGTGGTTCGCACCATGTCTCACTTGGATCTCCAGGTGAGTCCAGCCCTCCTCTCCACCTGTTTGCTCCACCAAAGCTGGCATTTTTTTGGGAGTGGTACCCCACACCAAAGACTCCTTAATTAGAATGTGGATTTAGCCTTCTCTAGGGCTGTTCTTAGATGGGAATGATGGAGTCTGGGATTGAGGAAGCTGAACTTGGGGTCACTGGGAAGGGGATGGTTGGGAATGGATGGGACCCAGGACAGAGGAACCTGGGGTCCTTGGGTACACACTCCTGGGGGCTTCACAGCATGGTTAGATACACAGAGAGCCAACCATGGTTCCCAGATTTTTTTTCTATCCCCTAACCTCCAACAGATAGCAAAGCCACAAGTTAGCCTCAGGCAGGGACTTCCAGGTGGCAAATGTGGCCTTTGCAGGGCAGTGAGGGGCTTGGAATACACCTATGGAAGGGCTGTTGGGACTGTGGGAGCTTGAAGAAGCACTGACATGCAAGAGGCCCGGCTAGGGTGGGGAGGGGGACAAGGAAATAGAAGGAAACATTGGCAAGAAGTAGAGGTGGGCTCTTCCTGTGGCCAGAAAAGCACAGATGAGTGCTGCCCTTGCTGTAGCCCTCAGACCCCTTTTGTGTGCACACCTCCCCGGGTTCCTGCAGGTAAGAGGGCAGGACAGGGGATGCTCTACTTGAGGCTGGGGAAACTGAGACATTAAGGGATTGGCTCAGACTCAAACAGTGGCAGAACTGGGGCCACAGCTTGGGTTACCCAACATTCTTGGCTCAAGCAGTGCTTTCACTCATTCTGGTGGTGGCTGAGGATGACGGTAAAAATAACCACACAGCTCTCATTTATTGAGCACCTATGCCTGTTGGCTCCGCACTGAGAACCTTACATTCATCCTGTCTAGGTCGCTGGTGGGGGTGGGGCTGTCATGGTGGGCATTTCACAGATCAGGGAGTGGACTCAGCAAGGTCAAGCCATTTGTCTGAGGTCTCCTAGCTTGAAGCTGCAGAGTGGGAGGGGAACCCTGGCTCCAAACCCCATGTAGACGTGTGCCTCAGGGGGGCTCCTACCCATCTCCCATAATTCACAAATGAAGAATATTCCTAGTTGGGCCAGCCCCCTCCCCACCTAGGCACTGCCCCATGACTCTTCTAGGGCCGTCTGTTATCTTGGACCCGAGAACCTTGGGACTGCTGATCCCGTAAGCCCAGGGAGGGTAAGCCCTGTTGCCCTTGGCTTCTGTGGAGACAAGATTCACTGGGTGTCGGGTAGGAGTCAAGGCGTGGCCCAGGGAGCAGATTGAGTCTCCCTAGGGTTGCTGGGATCTTCTTGCAGACAAGTTCTGGGAAGGTCAGTTGCTAGGCTCGTGAGAGCTGCTTAGGGGCCTGGTCAGCATCATACACCTCTCCCATCCCTACCCTCCCACCTCCCTGGGGACGCCTTTCTCCTCTCTGGGGAGCCCGGCAGGGAGAAGTTAAGAAAGTGCCCTTGAGCTGGAGCTATCCTCCTCTTCTGTACACAGGGATGACAGTGACCACCCCACCCCGATCAGTGTACTGGTTAGCTAAAGAGAGCACCAGGCACAGCATGGCCCTGGGGCAGGTCTCACTGAAGGTCACCGAGTTGGGTTTGTTTTGCTAGAAGTTGGTGCTGGCCTGAAATGGAGGGGCAGAAAGTCTGGGTTTGGGGCCCTGTGCCTTCTGGCAAGTCACTTCCCCTTTCTGCTCTCAGTTTCTGCATCTCTGAAATGACTGAGAGTCTGCTGAGCACATGCTCTGAGACAGAGGTAAGCCACAGTCAGACAGCCACACTCTGCAGCTGGTCTCCGGGTCCCCCAGGCCCAGGGCTCCTGCAGACCTTGTGTCAGCACGGAATTCAGGAGGGAGCAAGGTGGGCTCTAGAGATGGGCCACTTCTACCATCCACAAGTTGAGTGAATTTTAACTCAGTTCTGAGCCTCAGTGTTCTCATCTGTGAAATGGGAACGCCATGGTGCCTACCTCTTTGGGCTGCTGGGAGAGTAAAAGAGGAGGGTGTGGACAGAGCACCTGGCACGGACTCCATCAGTGGTGGCCCCGCCCCCACCTCCGCAGCTGTCCTCCTGGTTGCTGCCCCTCCCAGTCTTGGTCTCCGGGCTTCTGGGAAGGCGACAATGCCAGTCTGCTGGCTCAGCCGGCTTGGCCACTGACCTTCAGAGCACCCAGGCTGTCAAGGCCGCCTGACTGCCTGCCGGGCGGGTGGGGGGAGTGCCAGCCAGCTCCTCGCCTGACGCTACCCGCCCCTGCTCCCACTCTCCTCTCCCTCTCTGCGCCTGTGTGTGAGCTAATTAATCTCAGCCCCTTTGGGAAATTAGAACGCCGCAGTCGTGGCCTCCTCAGCCTCGCGGTGCCTGTGCTGCTGCTGGGCCCTGCCAAGACCCATTGTGGTTTGGGGGCACAGGGTGGGGAGTGGGGGCAGCAGGATGAGCTGGGTAGGCATGGGTGTCCCTGAGCCCTCCACTGCCTGGCTTGCGGGGGTGGGGGGCTCTGGTTTCTTGGCCCCCTCTCCTTCCATTCAGCATCCATAAGGATCCCAGACCATCACCCTGCCATGGTTAAACCCAACCTCCAGTGCCTCTGACCTCTTCCTGGGGCCAGTATGGTCACCCCCTGGTATGGTCACATTCCATCTCATTGCGGGGTCGTCTTGCCTGCCCGGCTCAGGCTGATGGAGACAGATGTAATTATGGAATTTTGCTTGGGAAATTAATTTGAAAAAGTTAATTAATTGGCGGTTCCGGAGGTGGCGGGCTCCACGCTCAGCCGGTCCTGCTGACGTTAGTGCTGACCCGCCTGAAATGGGCAGGCCGGTAAGAGGGACCCCAGTGACCTGGCTGGGCAGACCCGTGTCCTGGCTCAGGGGGGACACCTGGGAGGTGGGTGTCACCTGAATCTGCTAAGAGGCACTCTGAAATCTGAGAACTCAGCCACTTGTTTGAATGTTCACCAAGCAGTTGTCAAGCTTCTACTATGCAAGTGCCCCCAGCCAACATAGACCACTGAGTGTTTCGTCCAGTTCTTCTGAATCCCTTTTCTCAAGGAAAACCTCTAAACCTGTTCCCAAAGCTTTTCCATAGAGTTTGGATGCACCGTACAGCTGAAACAACTGAAGATTCAGAGGGTATGACTTGCCCAAGCCATTCAGCTATATTCTCCAGCAGAATGGAGTAGCGGATGTATAAAGGTTAGGCTTCTTCCCTTCTTCCACAGGCAGCCCTCTCCCTAATGTGTGATAGGAGCCTTAAAGTTGACTGTACCCAAGAGAGGGCCAAAGAACATGGCAGCCCCCTCCACCGTGACATCATTGTGCCTCCTCCATACCCCTCTCCAGACATTTATGGTATTCTGTGTTTGTATCTTGGGACTTTTCCCACCCAGTCTTTGGGATGACCCAGCTGGGCTGAGGCAGGAGGCCCTATACCCTAGGGCTCTCGGAGTATGTAGGGATCTATGTAAGATCTTGTGTCTGGAGGAGTGCGGATTCAGTACAGTTTTTGTCTAGACAGAAGATGGGTCGGGGCTGGGGCAAGAAGTGGCCAGTCCTGGTTCAGGACAGGAATGTGACCTGTAGGAGGCCAGCAAGGTGAGCAACATGGGCTTTCAAGAGATTTGGGCCTGGGTCTCCTTAAGCTGTGTGGCCTTAGGTACGTCTCTTAGCTTCTGCTCAGAGCCTCATTTTCCTCACTCGGACACAGGGACGATCATGTATGCCACTCAGAGGGCTGTGAGGAGGCACAGGGAGGAAGGAGACAGTGGGAGGTATAATCACTTGAAGCCGCTGTTTTGCTGCCTGGTGGAGGCCGGCTGGGTGGGAGAGCAGGGAGCCAATGGAATTGAGCGGGCGCCAGGGCCTGAGAAGGCCGTTTGTGGAGGGAAATCTGGTACAAGTGGTTGAGACAGGAGCTGGAGGACACACAAGGGGGTGGTATCTATGAGGTACCAGCTAGCGGCCCAGAGCCCTGGGGCCTCTAGGGGGAGTCAGTCCATACAGCATTTGCTGTCACTCCAGTGTCCAACTCTCTGCCACCCTACGGACTGTAGCCTCCCAGGCTCTTCTGTCCATGAGATTCTCCTGGGGTGGTGGGTTGCCAGGCCCTCCTCCAAGGGATCTTACCGACCCATGGATTGAACCCATGTCTCCTACGTCTAATGCATCAAAGGTGGATTCTTGACCCACTGAGCCACCAGGGAAGCCCCTTATAGCATCTGCTCCTGAATTTGTTGAGTGCACTTCCTTACCTCTGGGATGTCCCCAGGGACCAAGTGGGCCTTGCAGATAATTGTGTAGACCTCACCTCTCATAGTTCAGAATAAAAGTGACTGTCATGGACAGACTGAGCTGGGCATTTTGTATTGAATATCCTTCTGATGTAGTCTGTAGTTCTGGATTTCTTCAAGGACTGACCTCTAGCCAAGGGTTTAAGTGGGCCACACCCATTCCCTGAGCATTCTGTGGATTGTGTTAGTAGCTCAGTTGTGGCCGACTCTTAGCGACCCCATGGACTATAGCCCGCCAGGGCTTCTCTGTCCATGGAATTCTCCAGGCTAGAATACTGGAGTGGATTGCCATTTTTTTCTCCAGAGGATCTTCCTGACCCAGGGATCGAACCCTGGTCTTCTACATTGATGGCAGATTCTTTACCATCTGAGCCACCGGGGAACATGCTTTAAAAAGGGAGACGCTTCCTCTGCCCACCTCACCTCCAAGAAGCCCTCAGCAGGTGACTCACTGAGCGCTCAGAGTTCTCTGCAAACTCTACTAAGCCCTTCTCTCTGTGTGTACATCCATGTTCTCTTAGACTGGGAGCTCCCTGAGCATGGGATCCATGACATCTCTGATCCCACGCACAGCACAAGTTAGCGCTGGGTAGGGGTCATAGGGCCACTGCCTTCCTATTTGACAGATGGGCCAGTTAAGGCTGTGTGAGGAAATTGCTCAGTCAAGGTCACACAGCCTTGTGAGGGGCAGAGCTAACCTGGCCCAGGTGGATATGGCATCACGACCTTTCTGGGCTCTTCTGCAGCTCCTAACTTACTGGCAGTGTTCCAGGTGTCCAGCCCTAAGCCCCAAGCTGCTGAGACCTTGGGGAGTGAGGAGTTTTGGCATCGGAGGGGCAGAGGAGAGACCTTAAGCTCTCCAAGTCTCAGTTTCTTTAACTGCAAAATGGAGATTCTGGGACCTCTTCCTGATAGTGCTTGGGGATTTAGGGTGGGTGGTTAAAAGAGATGTTCTTAACTGCATGTCTGAAACTTAAGTGAGAACTTTAAGTGTTCACCATCTTTATTATTACTATTGACACTGTTATTTTGTTATCATTATATTACTATTCACCCTCCCAGGGCCCCAGCAGCTGCAGTGGCTCTGAGCCTGACTGCAGAGCTCTGGTCTGCAGAGAAGTCACGGTTGCTAATTAGTCAGTGCCCTGAGGAGAGGGCTGGGGTTTTTTACTTTTGCTGGAGGATCCCACCTGCCCGAGGCTTCCCCAGGCCCTGTCTTCAACTGGGCAAAGGTTGCAGACCCCTCTCCAGCCTCAGGTAGGGGGCCTGGCTCCCAAATTCCCCCTGCCACTCCCTCCTCCACCCAGACCTCCAGGGCCATGAATCATTTATGAGGCAAAAATGAAACCAATTAAGGACAAACTTTGAAAGCCTCTAATTGCTGCGCCTGGTGGCACCGAGGAATGAGGGAAGGCAGGCCCGTTCGGGGCCGGCATCTCCCCAGCCCAGGCCTTCCCAGGCCGCCCGCCCGTCCCACCGCGTCCCAGGGCGCGCGGCCTCCCGGCTCGTCGCCGCCTCCTGGCCGGGCGCGGACGTGCCTGCGCGGCTCCGGCGGCCGCGTCTGCCGCCCCGGCGCCCGCCCGGGTCCCAGGCAGACTAATTAGGCCCGGCTGCCCTCTCCGCGCCGCCGCCTCCCGCTCCAGGCCCGAGGTGATGGCGGCTGTTCCTGCCGTTCTGGGGCCTGTGCCCCAGAGCTGGCCGCCGTTCTCGGGGCGGGAGCCAGCCCTGCTGGCCTAGCTTAACCCAGCCGAGCCCAGGACGCCCTGTCCCTGAACTGGGAGCCTCGGGTTCCCCGCGCCCCCTCACCCTGGGATCCCAGCGTGGTTAGGGGCTGGGCGGTGCTGGAGTACCTGACTTGAACAGTGCAGTTCCAACTCAGGGAGAGAGCTGCTCCTCCCCCGCTGCCTGCTGGGGGATGACCGATGAGATAGGGAAGGGGAGGGGATTGAGTTCCTGAGGTGGCCCATTGGTGCAGTAGCTTTGCCACAAACACCATAATCTTACACGGATTCCTTAGCCTCAGTTTCCCCATTTGTCAACTATCAGCACAGGCCAGTTTTCTGTTGGATTTGGAATTTGAGGAGCTGGGCTTTACATGTTCCCCACACACCTCCACCCCTGCTCTTGGGGGCTGCTGAGGTAGAGGAGGTGGGGGTCTGGACCCAGCTTACCGCTGGAAGCCTTGGGCACCGGTGACCAGCCTGCCCACTGTGCTGAGGGCCAGGCAGGCCCTGGGCACTCAGGCACATTGTTTGCTGAAACTGAATTTCTGTGCTTGTGTTTTTCCATAATTATATTAGCAGGTGGGATTTTTCCTCCGGGAAGCAGTGGGAGGGGGAGTGCTATGGCCGTGTCCCCACCCGCTCTGAGCGTGAGCTCACATGGCTCTGCCCGCCCGCCTGCCGTAATGATTTTTTAATTATGTAGCCAGTGCTCGGAATTGCTAATCCGCCTCCAGCCCAACATCCCCTCCTGCAGCTTGTACCCCAGCCCCTCACTGCTGTCCCCAGAGTGGTGGCGTCCAGCCCCACGCCCATCTCTGTGCCCGGAGCACCCCTGTGGGTGAGAAAGGGGAGGCCAGGACGACCACAGGGCCACCTCTCCTCTGTCTGCTAGTGACAGAACTTAGTGGTAGCCGGGGATCAGGGTGCTTTTGGCTCTCTTTGCACCCCGCCACCCCTGACCCCAGCATGACTGGCTCCTGCCAGGACAGGTGTGGCTCTGGAAGAGGACAGGGGAGTAATTGGTGACCCCAAGGACACACACACACACACACCCATGATCTTTGTCATACCCACACTCACAACTTGCTTCTCTTAACCACACACTCTCAGCCTCATAGCTACACAAGCACAATAGTACGCTGTTCGTTTCCTCCTACACACACAGCCACACCTGAGGGCCAGGGTGCCCTCCGGAGACCCCACTGCTTCCTCCCATGCCCTGCAGTGGTCCTGCCCCCACTCACTCTCTTGGCCTCCATCTCCTTCCCCTACCCCCTGCCTGACTGGGTTACACTCTGAGGTCCCCCAGCTCCCACCTGGTGGGGTGGCTGCCTGTGGCTGGGGCCTGCCTGAACCTCCATCGACCCGGTCTGGGGGAGGTGGCGGGTTGCGGGGGGGCTGTTCTGCAGCACTGTGGCGGCGGCTCCTCTCCAGGCGCCCAGCTGTGGCATCTGTCAAGGTCAGATAGCGACTCCGGAACCAGCCGGCTCGGCCCCACGGCCCCTCTCGCCTCATTATTTTTGTGTTCCGGGGCTGCGGCGACACCTCCCTCCCTCCTCCTGAGCCTCCCGCCTCTTGCCTGCCTCCCCCACGCCTCTGCAGGGAGGGCCTGCGGTCTGGGGGCTTTTGTTTTCCAGTTTTCTCCACGCTCAGGCCAGGCACACAGGTTTAGATGCTGGCCAGAGCTGTTGGGTCTTGAACGGCAGACGAGGCAGGTGCCTCCCTCAAAGCTGGGACAGCTTTTTGGCTAGTGGAGCCTTGGGTTGATTTCTCAGGGGTACAGACTGAACCTGGGTGGAGCCCAACCTCCACCACAGCCCAGGTGTTCCTGTGGGCAGCTTCCTGTTTCCATAGGGGCCCCTCACCTGGCGTGAGTTCCTGTCTGCGCCATCCCCATGCCCGTTGAGTCCCAGACCTGTATCTCAGAACCCCTCAGAGGTCCTGATAGAACTCACAGTGAGTGCATGCACACCTGTGCTTACATGCGTACGCGTGTGCGCGTGCACACACACACACACACTTGACAGGCCAGGAGAACCCACAGATATCCAGCCACCATATAAACCACTCTACTTGGACACATGCACACTCAGTCATACATACACATCCACAGATGCAGATAGCCACAGTCCACTCCTACACACAGGAGGTCACACAGAGACCTCCACCTCCACTGGTATCT